GGGGCGGGGAGCAGGCTCGGAGCTCCAGACGAACGGCCGGCGATCTGTGAATGCAGGGAGGGAGGGGGAGGGAGAGAGAGGAGGGGAGTGGTGTCAAGTTTCAGGAGAGAGGAGGGGGAAGTGAAGGAAGGGCTCTGGCTCTGACTGTCGGAGCCCCGGCTGCTCTGTAAGCCGCGCGCACGCTCTGTATGGGGGGGGAGGAGGGGAAGTCCGGACATTGACAAATTCCCCCCGGACGCTATTTTTAACTCGAAAAAGCCGGACATGTCCGGGGGAATCCGGACGAATGGTAACCCTAGTTTTAGATTTTTCCATATGTGAGAAGCAACCCTGTATTTTCAGTCAAAATGACTTTATTTGAGACCCCAGTGAAACAAGAAGGCAGAACGGTAAGGTCTGCATGAACGCAGTGTGCGGCATGTCCCCTGGAACAGACTGAACACCAGCATGGCAGAGGGGAGGCCTGACCACTGCAGAACATTTTCATTTGACATGTTTCAGCCAGCTCTAGATACAAGTCACAGCAGGCCAGATTTTACAGGCCTCAGTCACCACAACTGGAGCTGGCTTTTCCAAACAGCTCTTCTCCCATTTAAGCACCTAATGAAGCAACCAGTTAATTCTCAATAAGACCAACTGGGAGGTGGAAACTTCTGGCTAAACTCTTTTGAAAATCTGGCCTCTTATTTAGGTGCCTAATGGGAGCTAAAATAAATCGAGCCCCAATTCTGGGGGCTGGTTTCAGTCTGTTTGTGAAGCAGAGTATTTTAGACTCCAGAATCAGAGACCAGGCCCCAGATCCTCAAAGGTATTTAGGCACCTAACTCCCACTGCAATCAATGGTAGGTAGGCACTTATGTACCTTTGAGGACTTGGGCCTGAAAGGCTACGAGATGCCCATGTTACAATGGGTTCAACAATTACTGGGGAAAGTGAGAGTTGGTTTCTTCCCCAGAGCAAGACAGGCCTTTTGATGAGGTGCCTGAGCCCTGGGGATTCCCCTACAGCTATGCAAGCAGCTTCCCCCTCACTCTCTGGAAGTCTGCATGGTCCCACTGAACACCAGAGACAGACAGGAGAGGCCTGCTGCAATATCGGTATAATAGCCCCATCTTGGCCAGCACACTGGGCATTGAACCAGGACTCTCTAAATTCAGAAACCTGAGTCACTGCAGCGTGAGCTAAGCAGCCAGCCTCTACAGCCAGCCACTGTAACAGAGTCACATCCTCTGCAGCTCAGACCAAGAGGGGGGCATGTGACATGTACTGATCAGTGGGTTACACTGGCATGGACTTTCCTGGCCTGTCTGCAGTTTCGATGTCTCTGCAGGAACATGGGAATCATTCAAGATCAGAGAGGGCAGAGATTAGAGAAGCTCATTTCATAGGTGCTGATGGGGTTTTCTGATATCCTCCCCCAAACTCTGGACATCTCAGGGACACAGTCTGAGCTGGGAGTTTACACCAAAAAGAAAGAAGAAAGGGCGAATTCTTTGCCCAGTGAAAGAGGTTGGTGGGAACGCGAAGATCAGGGCCTTGGTATCAGCATCATAAAATGTCACCTGCCCCCCTTCATAGTCCAGATAGACCCCGATCTTTCTGGGGCTCCGACTCAGAGACAAGTTGGTAATAGGGGAGGTGAAAGCTTGGTAATAGGGCCCCAACTGCTCTATAGCCCAGACCCCCGCTTTGGGCTTCAAGGTGACCTTTCCCATTCTCTTCACAGACTCTCTGGCGACCCCTAGACGCACGTTCCCCCCCTCCTTCAACTCCACCTCCCAATAATGTCTGCCCGAGGTGAATGCTTCACGGCCCAGGACAGGGAGAAACGATAAATCTTCTACTCTGAAATTGTTGTATGGATTCTGCCATCTCATGCCTTTCTGATCCTCAGACACGATGAGCCAGGGATTTCCTGTGTCTGGATCCAGCATCACATTTTCTGGAGAGAGAATGAGAGAGAAAATCAGAGTATCAGAAGCAGAGCTCAGCCCTGGGGAAGGGGTTGATCGTGCCAGTGACAGAATCTGCCCCAGCTGGAGAGTGACTCAGGGAATCTCCTTCCTCTAGGATTTACTCAGCTCTGAATAGAGGCAGCTCTGAGATCTCATCAAAGTGCAGGGGAGAGTCACTCCCCTGGCAAGGATGGGTCAGTGACAGCAAAAGGATTGGCCACGCCACGCCTGAGACTCCGAATCTTTTCCTCCTGCACCCATCGCTTCCTGCCTGACAGCGCACAGTGCACCCTGACCCTTTGTAGCGTTCGCCCCCACGCAAAGTGTTGGGAGTCCCTGGAATAGTGATATGGGGCTCGATGCTCAAAAGGAATTAGGCACTTAAGTCTCAATTTTGGTTCCACGGCACTGCCCCAAATTCCCTGTCAAATGCTGTAGACACCTAAAGTCACGCAGCACCTACTTTTTTCAGAGTAAAAGATCCCTAGCTGCCTAGTTTCTGCTGCTCCTGTGAGAGACCCTGTTCAACTCCTTTCTCCCCGTCGAATAGAAAAGTGGACTTGAACCGGGGTTCCCAGCTCCCAGGCGAGTGCACAGCCACTGGGCTAAAAGTTATAAAGCAGCTGCTGCTGACACCACCACCAGCCAGATTTGGAATGGTGTCAGCTCCAGAAGGTAGCCTCTGCGCACACCTATTGGATCAGGCCCTGCATGTGAGTTAGGCAGCGGAATGCCTCTTTTACCTCTCTCTGGGAATAGCTCTGGGGCTGAGGGAGGAGACGGGCAGCTGGAGGCCCACAGCGGGACAGCAGTGTGCACACCTAGAGATGGAAACATGGTGACTAGGGAACTTTTACTCTGAAAAACGTAGGCGAGTGACTTTAGGCGCCTGCTCGGCTTCTTGCTAAAAGAGCATATGGCGCCTAACTCCAAGGAGATTCCCGGTCTGAGAATCACAAGCAGAGATGGGGCCTCCCTGCAGCCTGGACTTCGCTTATCTCTGTGAGGGGGTGGGGCTTAGGACACACCCCCTCTCATCAGCCTCCCCCAGGGGCTAGACTACCCACCTGGCTTTGGAGCATGGCATTCTTAGGCACCCATCTCTCTCCATTCACTCGGTGCCCAAGCCAGGCTTTGGGAATTGCAGGGCTTTTTTCCCCAAGCACCTAAAAGTTTGCCATTGTGATGCTGAACTGAGTCTTGGACCCTCTCAAGCATCTTTCCCCACGTCTGGCTCGGCAAAGGGGAATGAAGGACCACAGATGCAGGGCCCCATCATGCTAGAGCCCATCAGAGAAGTCAAGCACCCCTGTTCAGGAGAGAACTTAAGCAGGTGCTTAAATGAAGCAGGCCATTTCCTGAATAAGGCTGGACTGAAGCATGGGTTTCAGTGTTTTCCTGACTCAATCCTGAGTCAGTGCTTGGAGCTCCAGGGCCTGTCAGCCCAACAGGTGACCACAGATATGCTGATGCCTAAACTGCCTGAGCTGATGGGGTTTTCTGATATCCTCTGCCACTCTGTAGCACTGCCCAAGGTGGAGAAGTTTTGAAAAGTGTCATCAAAGGGAAAAAGGAAAGAAAAACTGAGAAATGAACAAACCAGTCACAGTCACAACCTTGGACATCATTTGTTTTATGGCACTAGGTTACGAAAAAGAAAAAAGAAATAAAAGGAGAGAAGATATGGGTGGGGGTAAAACAGATATTCAAAATTCCAGTGTTTTTAACTGAAAATCAGTTGTGTGGAAAATATTTAAGAGTAAAAAAATATTTTGTGTCACACCCTGCAAAATGGAAACATCCTCTTGGGGGAGCAAGCAGCAGCCACTTACCCGCTCAAGGTGCTTCTGACGTCCTAGAAGAGGGAGAGAGAAAAAAGGGAGTTCGGTCCCACGTGCCCCACACTGGGGACCCCTCTTGTGCTAGAGGGGACCCCCTTGGCATCACTAGTTGAGCTGCACATGCCATTCAGCTTTTGAAAGTCCCAGTGAGCATCTAGCTGCACATTCAGATGGGTACAAATTTGGCCCCTGCTGTCCAAACCCCTTCCAGAGTCGACAAGAAGGAGGCAGAGTGAGAAGGAGCCATGTACTCGCTCCAGGCACTTGTGATGTCCTAGAAAGGAGAGAGAGAGAAAAGAGAGCTCAGTCCCACATGCTAGTCACTGGGAACCCCTCCTGCTCAGAGGGAACTCACTTGGCCATCACTAGCTATCTGCAGTTCCCCGTAGCTAGCAGCTTCTGAAAGTCCCACTAAGCACCATCTGCACAGCTATAGGCTAAATATTGTAATAGCCTGGGTTAAACCTCACTGGAGCTGGTAAATGCAATTGCCACCCGTCCTTTGAGATAACTGCATGGGAAATGCAAGATCTTAGGAACGTGGAACCTTGAAAAGATGATTATATGGAGCTGTGCAATGAGATTACTCATAAGCTTTTGTACCTGTAAATGTTCTCTGTATCTTTGTGAGCCAGGGGTTGTATTCTGCATCTATAGGGGAGGGTAACCGAGCTCCTCCCAAGAACTAAAATCAATGGGGGCTAATTCCTTTCCATCCTGGGATGGGTTAACCACTTCAGAGATGTCCCACCTCCGGGGTGCATTGCACAGACTGGTTCAGACCAGGTTCAAGAGGCCCCGGAGACAAAAAAAAAGTTTGTGGTATAAAGGGGCAGCCTGAACTGGCTGAGAATGTCCCTAATTTTGATCCAAAAACTGACATGACATTGCAGCCAAGAGGGAAAACCCCTGCTAGAAGGGCTGGACGTTGCCAAGGTGTCCCCATGACAAATGCATGAGTGTAGGCTCGTTTTTTTATGATAGGTTTCCTCAGTCTGAAAATAAATATACTGCACTGGGTGCAAGCCGGCTGCTCACGGGTGACCCTGTCATTGTCCCCTGAGAAGGTGCGAAGCGCAGTGCTGGACTAAGGCCAGACCTGCTGGGGTAGGTGCAATGAATTACAAGGGGACTGCAAGCCTAAACCCCTGGTCTGGAGAGAGAGGAACATGGGTTCCTGCCCAGAGAGAGGTGATGGCTGGAGGCCTGAGACCTAAAGGGCTGCCCTAGAGGAGGCCACGGGAGGGACGGAGGTGCCGTTAACCCTGGAACTGTGACAAGTCGTAGGAAGTCACTGAACTCCTTTATGGAAGCAGGAAGCTGAAATGAGAGGGGCCTCCAACCACAGAGGAGCACGTGTCCCCACCAGAATAAAGAAAAATGTGAGGCCACTCAGGAATTGGAACGATACAGGTGGAAGGGATTCACTGGGGATATTTTGGGTAGAGGGGTGCGTGTGTGTGTGTGAGTGAGAAGCAACAGACACAACGCACAAAGAGACAGAGAAGGAAGCTCCAGACACAGCCTGAACAAGCACTGGGGACATGGCCCCGAGGAGCCGAGGAGCTCCAGCTTTCGGGGCTGAGTGCTGGCTAAGAGAGGCTTGGAGTTGTGGGTGAGGAAACTGTCTCCTGTTGCTGGATTCTCTCCCCCCCTCCCCCGCCCCCATCCCCGGGGAAGCAGGACTTTGTACATATTTTGTAAATAAACAGGATTGCATCAAAGGAATACCTGACTCTATCTCCAGTTTCTGTTTCCAGCAGGAACAACATTACGAGACCCTGAGTTTTTGGCCAGCCACTAGGGCCAAAAGGGGTAACAATACCTTTGTAAATCTGGCCCTAGTGTCCAAGCTCCTTCCAGAACCGTGGCGAATAAGGGGGAGTGAGAAGGAGCCTCGTACATGCTCAAGGTGCTTCTGACGTCCTAGAGGGGCGAGAGAGAACAGGGAGCTCAGTCCCAAACGCTGCACACTGAGGACCCCTCCTGCTCTGGGGCAGACTCACTTTGACACCCCCAGTCTGAGTTCCAGCCCAAGTCCCCTGCAGCCAGCAACTTTACACATAGTTGGCAGCTTCGTTTCATTTTAATATCTTAGTTCCTTGGATTCCTGTTCTCTGTGTGACGTTTGACCTTGTGGTGAACTTTTCTCCAAAAATGCTTCAAGAGGCCCTCCCCCACCCGTCAGTGGTGTGTGCATATCTCTCAGGGGTGTGAATGAGAGCTACCCACAGGCAGCGGGCTGGAATACGGAGTCCAAGGTATGTTTCATTTCTAGGATTTTACTACCAGGGAGAATCTGGGTGACAACAAGGAACACAGGAACCAGGAGTTACTTCAATTCAGCGTGCTGCAGAATGGAGGATGGGATCAGAGAATGCAGCAGTTTAAGGCTATTAGCTTCCAGAAATACCCATTTTGTGGGATAAGAAATCTTGCAATTAAAAATCGCACATGTGGAAGAAGGCTGGCCACCCTGGAAGAGACTGGGCCACAAACACCTGTCCACTTTTATGCAGGACAACTGTGAATCTGTTACTCTTCATTCAGAAAATAAAACAGCTTACTTGACTATGATAATCCTGGATGCCAATACCAATTTAAAAGACTCTCCTTCCCTGTGCAGGGAGCTGGGGTGTCCCTGATCCACAGTCTCACCTGCAGGAATTCACTCGCTGGCTGCTGGCACTTCCCTTCCAGTTCACTGATCAGGTGGTCAAGACGGGATATTTCTTCTGTGATTCTGGCAATATAGTTGTTCTGCCTCTTTAAAATGTCCTTGTTTATCTCATCCAGCTGGGTAAGCAGGAATCGCTGTTTTTCCTCCACTAACTGGCGCACTTGCTGAAATTCGGACACAGTCTTCTGCCTCTGGGTTTCTGTCTGTTTCTGCCATAAGCAAATGTGAAAGAAGAAAAGGGCAGTTGAGGAGCAGGAAGAGTCATGAAATTCTACAAAGCCCTTTGTGTGCAGTGAGCAGCATTTCATTCAATCCCTGACAACTCAACACTTGGCATAGAAAGAGGAGAATTTTCTGTAGTCTCCCAGCTGGCCAAACTGGTCATAAAGGTTAGAGCTTATTTTTTTTTTTAAGTTTTCATACTTAACCCTCTGTCTCCTTTATCACTGGCCTCCTGAAAACCACATCCTTCCAATAAAAGGAAAATTGACAAGAGGGAGGAGGAGTGACTCAGAATTGGATTGAAAGAGAAAGGCAATGACCCAAAAACATTTGCCAGGAGTCAGTGATTAGAACTGGTCAGGAATTTTTCATCTAATCATTTTGTTTTTTGTTGTTGAAAAATGTAGAGTTATCAAACCCAAAACTGTTTGTGACACAGGTCAGGTGTGACAGATTTTCCAACTCAGACAAATTCCAAATTGTCAATACTTTGTTTTGACTTTTTAGATTGAAGAAATCTGGTTTAAAATGACTTTTCATTTTAAATTTAAGCTAATTTAGATGAGGTTTTTAAAAAAAATGGGGAAAAAGGTCAAAATTGAAATGAAATGTTTCAAAATTTCTGAGTCAAAACACATTTGATTGACCCAAAATGGGAAAAAATATTTTTTGGTTCATGAATATTTTTGAGATTTTACTTTTCATCACATGGGGATGAAATATTCAGGAGATAGGAAAACCATTTCCCAGCCAGTTCTATGAGTGATGCTCCACACGCATCCTACAGAAAAATGTGCACAGCCAAGCAGACATGAAGGGCCACAATGTCTTAACACCCATTCTTGTGCTTTCAAGTCTCCGGATATATCCGGGGACCATCGGACTCAGAATTGCATCCAGGCAGGTCAATGAAAGCAGAGGTGCTGGTTGACTGTCTAATCACCCGATGCAAGAACAAGAGACTTGTGGAGATTCAAATGTGAGTGCTCTACACAGAGAGCTCAAGATTGTGGCATGACATACCCTGCAGCTAGGCGGGTGTGAGGAGGAAGAGTCTGACAACACAGAGTACCTAGGTAATACCAGAGACAAACCCAAGTTGTTGGAACAGATGGCGAAATCTCATCCCCACACCAGCTGAGACCATTTCACAGGCACAGTTGTAGTCAGTAGATGCATGCAATTTGGGGTGCAGAAATGTACAGGCTGGATAGAAAATGTACGTTGGAGATAACCCTTACCATCACTATAGTATTGAAATGAGAAGATGCCTCATGCTTGCCTGGATATAGCCCCTATGGAGGTGAGACTAGAGTTTCATTTCCTATCCCTCTCCACAGCTAAAACCCTCATCTACACTCTCATCATCTCATGTCTTGATTACTGCAGCATCTTTCTCTCTGTCCTTGATCACTGCAATCTTTTCCTGCTTGTATCCATTCAGAATGCTGCTGCAAAAGTCATTTTCCTAGCCCGTTGCTTTGACCATGTCACCCCTCTCTTTGCATCCCTACACCAGGTCACCCTTTTTCTGTTGCATCAAACATGAGCTGCTTGTCTGTACTTTCAAAGCCCTTCACAACCCATCCCCATCCTATGTATAATCTTTCGCTGCACTTTCTTCCATGCTGCTCCTCATGCTTGGAAGAAGCTCCCATAAACATCCACAAAACTCTCTCATTATCTTCCATAAAAACCCTCCTTAAAACTCTCCTGCTCCATGATGGCTACAAAACCACTTGGCGAGGGTTAGGCTGCTGATGTGCTGAGACCATTGCCAATCATGCTGAACAATATTGTCCCACTAGTCCCTTATGTTCCCCCATCTGTCTGTAGCCAGCTGTTGTCTCTGGTTTTACACTTAGGGTATGTCTACACTACGAAATTAGGTCGAATTAATAGAAGCCGGTTTTATAGAAATCGGTTGTATACAGCCGATTGTGTGTGTCCCCACATAAAATGCTCTAAGTGCTCTAGTCGGCGGACCGCGTCCACAGTACCGAGGCTAGTGTCGACTTCCGGAGCATTGCACTATGGGTAGCTATCCCACAGTTCCCGCAGTCTCCGCCGCCCATTGGAATTCTGGGTTGAGATCCCAATGCCCGAATGATGCAAAACAGTGTCGGGGGAGGTTCTGGGTACATGTCGTCAGGCCCCTCCCCCTCCGTCAGAGCAACGGCAGACAATAGATTCGCGCCTTTCTACCTGGGTTACCTGTGCAGACAACATACCACGGCAAGCATGGAGCCCGCTCAGCTCAGCTCACCGTCACCATATGTCATCTGGGTGCCGGCAGACGTGGGACTGCATTGCTACACAGTAGCAGCAGCTAACTGCCTTTTGGCGGTAGACGGTGCAGCATGACTAGTAGCCTTCATTGGCAATCTGGGTGCTGGCAGCTGTGGGGCTGGCAGCCGTAGGGCTGCATTGCATCAGCCCTTTGCCTTTTGGCAGTAGATGGTGTATTATGACTGGTAACCATCCTATTACAAGTTGGATTATTGCACATTAGCAGAGTCTTCCCTGAACAGCAGATCGTGCAATAGGCCTGAAGGCCATTGTCATCATACAGGAAAAATGTGGCTATAGTACACTAACTGCCAAGTGCCCAGAAGATGCCAAGGGCTATCAGTCATGCTGCACCGTTGTCTTAAGATGTAAAAAATAGATTTGTTCTGTATTCATTTGCTTCCCCCTCCCTCCGTCAAATCAACGGCCTGCTAAACCCAGGGTTTTCAGTTTAATCTTTGGGGGGACCATTCTGTGTGACAGTTGTTTGTGTTTCTCCCTGATGCACAGCCACCTTTCTTGATTTTAATTCCCTGTACCTGTACGTCATGTCGTCACTCGGCCCACCCTCCCTCCTTCCCCTGGTCCCTCAGATACTAGTTTCACGCCTTTTTTCAGACCAGGCGCCATAGCTAGCACTGGGATCATGGAGCCCGCTCAGATCACCGCGGCAATTATGAGCACTATGAACACCACGCGCATTGTCCTGGAGTATATGCAAAGCCAGGACATGCCAAGGCGAAACCCAGACCAGCCGAGGAGGCGATTGCAGCGCAGCGAAGAGAGTGATGAGGAAATTGACATGGACATAGACCTCACAAGGCACAGGCCCCAGCAATG